GTCTTAATAAGTTGCTTAGGGCCTCACTAGGTTGTTGAGGCTGGCCTTGGGCTTATGATCTTCCTGCCTCAGTCCCCTGAGTTCTGAAATTAAAGACATGTACCACCATGCCCTGCCCAGGCAAGTTTAAAAAAAAATTTTAAAAATTTTAGTTGTAGATGGACATAATACTTTTATATTATTTATTTATGTGGTGCTGAGGATCAAACCCAGAGCCCTATGAACGTGAGGAAAGCACTCTACTACTGAGCCACAATTCTAGCCCTAGACAAGGTTTTGAAGAATATTTGACAAACTATCTAAAGTCCAAGTTGTTCACTTGGTGTTCTGGATGATTTCTGTTTCCTCAGGAGGGAGGAAAAAGGATTTTCCCAAAATGTCAATGACTTTTAATTGAGATTCACTTCTGTACTCAGGAAGAACCACTGGGTTGTAGATCTCACAGTCCCTGCTTGAAGTCTTGGGAAAGTAGTATCCTGTCTCCTCTCTGGTCCCCCAGAAATAGTCACTTACGGTTTAAGTCAAAGCCCCTTCTAGTGGCTGTCATGAGTCCGGGAGGCAAATAAATAACATACTATGAAGATAGAGTTAGAATTGCCTGAAAGGAAGCATAGCAATACTTGGAAACTGCCCAACAGAGATCCTAGCATTTGAAGGTCCCACTAATTATTATTGGCACGTAAGAGTTACAGTTCAGCTTCTGTGGGGGCAGGGTGATGGGGAGAGAATCCCCAGAGGCAGGTGACTGAAGGGGTGACAGCCAGTTCCATACCTTCGAATTTCTTCATGTTCTCTATGATGGAGTCATGTCTTGATTTTGCTTCACTGAGTTTTTTCTCCAGGTGTGGAGGAATCAGGGTTGAATTGAGAAATTGAAATTCTTCACTCCTATGAAGTCGTGGCAGGTGATGGTGAGATCAGAGGATGGGATGTGGGGGAGGGAGGACCTAGTGACATGCATAAGAGGAGATGGAGGCCTGGCTGGTGTGAGTCAGGGGGTAGTGAGCTGTGAGTCAGGGGCCAGGGCTAGAGCTACAGAGCTGGAAAGAGGTGGGGCTTGAGGAAATATGAAAACGAAGGTGGGAGTTGGAGACAGAGGAGAGACCAGAACAGGGGCAGGGAAATCTAGTAGGGGACCCAGGAGCCACCTAGTTGAGCAAGGGGGCATACAGAAGGTGCCAGAAAATAGGAGAATCTGTGCTGAAGAACTAGGAAGTTGACAAAAAGCTTCTTTTTCTTTTTTTTTTTTTTTTAAACCAACCAACCCTATGCTAAGGCTCAGGCATTCCCCATCTTCAACCTAAATAGTTGACTGCAAAATTAGAGTGGAGATATTTGGGAGGGAAAAATGTTGAGTGTGTTTGAATATATGTTGAGTACTATATGCATGATGCATGCGGGTTGGCCCATCGTACCTGTGCAGGATAACTCTGATGTCCTAGAAGAGAAAGAGAGCACAGCTTTACTGTGTAGCTGACCACAGGGCCAAAGTGAAGCTTCACACCCTGCTAGAGATGGAGTGAGAAACCTTCCAATTCCCTCACTCTTCCCATCTGCCCTGGAGGACTACTCCAAGAAGCACCTCATATATCAGTAGACAAGAAAGTGGTTAGACTGAGTGAAGATGAGGAGAAGAAACACTGAGATTCTGAGAATTAATTTTGTCTCTGATACTAAACCAAGGACAGGAGAGAGGCTGGAATGGCTTTGCATAATCTTTTCCTTTCTCTTTGTGTGGGTTGGGGGTGGGGTGGGGGATGGGGAAGAGAGAATTAGAGAAAGAGAGGGTGAGTGTGTGTGAGAGAGATTTCTTGAAAGAAAGAAAGAAAAACTTATAGGCAAAGGAGATGAATTCAGGTGTGATCATCTCATCTAATTTTGTGCATCACCCTGACCTACGCTGTCCAATATGGTAGCCACTGCACAGCCACTTATGGCTATTAACACTTGAAACAAGGCTAGTGTGACAATAAGCCACATTTTTAACTTAACTGAATTTTCACTAATTAAAATTTAAATTAAAAACTGAAGCAGGAGTAAAATTCTCTTTCCATGGAACACAACTTTATTGATTTGGTAGGATTACATTTTATTTCAACAACTGACAATTTAGCCTCTGAACTGAGATGTACTAAAGGTGCAAAATATATATTAGAAGTCAAAAACTCAGTACCCACCCACCCCCCAGAAAATTCCCAGAATGTAATACCTCAAAAATATGGAGAAAGGGGCTGGTGCTATAGCTCAGTGGCCGAGTGCTTGCCTAGCATGCATGAGGCACTGGGTTCAATCCTCAGCACCACATAAAAATAAACAAATAAAATAAAGGCATTCTGTCCATCTAAACTACAAAAATTTTTAAAAAATATGGAGAACAGGACAAAATAACTTTTAGACATTGAGTTAACTAAATATTTTCTTAAAATTTATTTCATTAGTTTCTTTTTTACCTTTTTAATGTGGTTACTAGAAAAATTTAAGTTAGATACATGTCTTGCAGTGCATTTTTAAATCACATTATATAGTTCACATTATATTTTAAATTACACATGTGACCCACATTATACTGCTAAATTATATATGTGGCTTACATGTCTGTGCTAGAGGTAATAAGATTGGGGTAAATGCGAATAAAAACTACACTGAGATTTTATCTTACCCAACTTAGAATGTCAGCCATCAAGAATATAAACAATAATAAATTATGGCAAGTATGTGGAGAAAAAGGAACACTTTTACATTATTGGTAAGACTGTAAATAAATACAACCAGTATTTAAATCAGTATGGAGGTTCCTCAAAAGACTAGGAATAGAACAACAACATTACCCAGCTATCTCACTGCTTGAAGTCTATCCTAAAGCATAAAAGACTTCATATTATAATCATATATGCATAGTCATATTTATAGCAGTATAATCATGTTCACCTAACTATGAAAACAGAGTAGGTGCTCATCAATGAATGAATGGATGAAGAAAATATGGTATATATATGCATGATGGAGTATTATTCAACCATAAAAAATGAAATTGTTTCATTTGAAGGAAATAGATGGAACTTGAGAATATCATGTTAAGCAAAATAAGCCAAACTTGAAAGTCAAGGTTCATATGTTTTCTCTCACATGTGCAAGCAAGAGAAGGAAAAGGAAAAGAAATGTTGTATGGGGAGGATCTCATGAAAACTGAAGGGAGATCAGTAGAATTAAGAAAAGAGATCAGAAGAAGGGAAGAGGGGAAGGAAAGAGAAATACTGGAGAATAATATTGGCCAAATTACATTGTTATATTGTGTGCATGCATGAATATGTACAATGAATCCCACCATTATGTACAACTATAATTTACCAAAAAAGAAAAAAAAAAGATGATTGGGGCAATCTCTCGTATTCTGTCAGGTGATCCATGCTCTGACTTGAGACCAGGGATAGACTGCTACCTGTCCACAGTTCTGCCCCCAAAGGACTCTCACCTCCAGCAGCTGACTAGGAAGCATTTGCTGCCTGACCTTCAAGGAATCAATGAGCTTCTTGAGGGTGGTCAGCTGCAACTCCATTGAAGCCATGAAGAGTTTCTTCTGCTCTGTCCCCTCCTGCTCCAGCCAATGGAGCCGGGACAGGAGGAAATTCTTCTCTTCCTCAAGGACCTGCTGCAGGTGTCTGAATTCCCCAAGGATCTTTATCCTCTCAAAATTTACATGGTTCTGGTGGCAAGACAAAGGGACACAGAGATGAGAGGGTAGCCTCCAATATCTGCCCAGGCCACTGTATTCAATTTTAAGTGTATTAAGTTTATACTAAGTGCCAGAGCAGAACCGTGTACTGTGACAGACCTGTAGGAAAGGAGAGGTGAGAAGAATGAACTTTAAAAGCACTTCCTATGTTCTTTGTTTTAGGCTAAGTTATGTTTCATCATTTTCACCTTTAAGGACCTCAGTGTCTAAAACTCACATTTTCAGAAGGCTGTCAGGTTATAATCACATAATTTTTCCTTGGACATGACAACAAAACAAGACACCTAAAAGTGTTGGGTGATACCACAGTCTCTCATTTCGAACTTGAGAATCAGTCTCTTGTTAGTCATGGCCTCCTTAGGCAGAGCTTAGTTAAAAGCCAGTATTTCTGATTTTAAGACCAGTGAAGGTTTTCTTTTTACCAACTGTGGGGCCGGTGTCAGAGGCAAGCTGCCTACCTGCTCTGTGAAAGCAAGGTGGGTCACCCAGCTGCTGCACCCTGGCAGGTCAAGTTCTTAGAGGAGAGGGCGTGAACACACCTAGCCCGCAGGTCACATTCTCTGTCCCCACCCAGGGCTGCTACTCCTATACACTGTCTCTTTCTGCCCCAGTTTTTGTCACAGAACCTTTTTTTGGAGAGTGAGAATAATAAAGAGTTTAGGATCTTCCACAGAGATGTTTCTGTTTCCAGGGACCATGGGATAGAGTTTTTCCTTACCATAAAATCATTGATCTTCCATTCACCTTGCTCCTTCTTTTGTACTATCTCCTTCTCTGTTTGCTGCAAGATCTCAATCTGAGATTGAATCTTCACCTGTGGGGAGGGGGTCCTTTTTGTAGGTTGTGCCTGAGTTCTCTTCTCATTAAATCCCTCTGAGTCTCTCAGAGGAGCAGGTATGATTGACTCTCCAGGGAGTCCTAATGTAATTATTAATAGCACCCACACACACACACACTTTCTTTCTCAAGCTGGGAAAAGATGGAGCCTTAGTGACTGACCTAAGAGAGAAAAATGTTATTTATGACTAATTAGAATTAATATTTGCAGGATGCTTTGGCATCATCAAAGAACTCCCACAAACTTGCCCTGATTTGCCCTATCAACAATTTTAAGACACAGGTTTTGTTTGGATCATTTGAAACTTGAGGCACCTGAGGCTGGGAGAGGTAAAGAGTTTCCTTGAAGGTTATAAGGATACACAGGAGTCAGAACTTGAGCCCAAACCTTCTGAGCCAGAATTCAAGTCCTGTCCAGTCTTCATGGTGCATTGCATTGGGCAGGCATCCCCCACCATGGCTGACTGAATTGCCCACTTAAGAGCAAAGGGTGGTACAAACCACTTGGAAGAGGTAACAGTTTACAGATCCCCACTAACGTCCTCTTCTGATGTGGGGAGCAGAGAAGGGCCCCCAGATGCCTACCTGATATTTCTGGGCAGCTTCTTCTATCAAACTGTGATTATGCGTTCTGTGGTCCTCGGATTCACAACACATCACACAGAGGAAATTCCCACTGTGCTCACAGAAGTAATAGAGCTTCTCTCCATGCCTCTGACATTTCAGCTCGTCCCTTTCTGGTTGCTCCTCAGAAGCACTCATAGCTTGGATTTTCTTCACCAGATTTACCAACAGCCAGTTGGGCCTGAATGTTTTGTTCACAGAACTGTTGCAGAGGGGACATTTGAAAAAACTGCCTGATGCTTCCCCAATCCGTGTGATGCATCTGTTGCAGAAATTGTGTCCACAGTCTATGGTGACAGGGTCCTGCAGAAAGTCTGTGCAGATGGGGCAGATTACTTCTTCCTGCAGTTGGCTGGAAAACTGTTGGCTGGCCATGAGTGAAGAGAAGGCTGCTTCAGGTGTTGAAAGTCTGGAAGTCTGCTATGGACACTGGCTCTAGTAATGGAGAAGGAAAGAGAGGAGGTGCGGGTCGAAGAGACTATCAATTCAAAGGATGGGGAGGGAGGAAACAAAGAGGGAGGGAAAAGTAAATGAATGATAGAAAAGAGTAAAAATTCAAATATCGGGAATATTATAAAGAGAGGAAAACAGAACTATCCTACCTGGCTACCTCTTAAGAACAAATGGATATTGTGAATGTATCTAGGCTGCTTTTGAAATGAGATAAGTTGTCCTGAACTTTGAACTAATTAAGGATATGTTTCAAAGGCAGATAATTGAGACCAGAAGGACTAGGCACCAAAGTCCACACAGGAAGTACTTCCCATCAGCTGTGAAGGGACCTGAGGAGGGGCTGAGTGAAGCCCGCAATGCTTTGGGCATTCCTTGTAAGCCAAGCCCAAACTTGGGGAGAGCACATGGAAAAGAAGGAAGTAGGAAGGGAGGGAGGCAGGGAGGAAGGAAGGGAGATAAGATAATCCTCTATTTTGGGTTTGAAGAATTCTGTGAAAATATGGAAGACATTATCACCTACCTTGGGGAATTTTTAGTCACAAAGAGAAACAACTATTTCTCTTGTGGGGGAACTCTTAGTCCAGTGGGAGAAGCAAGAAACTTTCTTTCTACAGGGTCATTCTTACTTTTTGTATATTATTCTTGACCCTGGTGAATCTTTTACTTTCCCATTGTACCAGTAGCCACCTGTCCTCTACTGTTTTTTTTTTTTTTCCTGCAGTTCTTCAACACTCTGATGTCTCTGTGCCCATTCTTTACCCAATCTTATTTTGGTCTATGTATGTTTCTTCTTCCTTGTTGGTGCTTCTCTGATCCCTGGCTTACCCTGCCCTATGACTTTTGTTCTGATGAGGAAAATATCAAGCAGTGTCACCTGTGTTCCCTCCTTTATCTCAATACATTTGTCTTAATCTTTACTCTTTCCATATGTCTCAAGGAAAAAGAGTGCTTCCTCCCTTCCCATCTCTGAGTACTGGTTTCTACCTTTACCTCCTCTTCTCTCCAGCGTCTGGCACCTATTCCCATCAAGGAGGACATCATTCATTTTTTTTAATTTCAGAGTTTTATTGTATTGCACTAAGGGAACAGTAGGATGGTTATACAATTTTCTCTCTCATTCAGTTTTGAAAATCTAAAGTACTTGCAAATTCTTAAGAATACCTTTACCACCAGATTAAAACAGTAAACATAATATAACCAATTTCTTAATAAGTAGTGTCTTACAAATAAAAACACATTTTAAATTGCTTTAAATGCATCCTTCACAAGTAATCCAGTATATATATTTTATATCACGTTCACTTATGCTTAAGAATTAAAGCAAGTACATTACTCTGATGGAAACATGGGAAGTCTTTCATTCATGCAACATATAGGGATAATATTCAAGTTGAAGGAAAAAATTCCCACTCTTCTTATTTTTGTAAATGTATCCATATATAATCATCTACCTGATAAATGAGGAAGCCTATAAAGTTTCCCACAAGTCAGATACATATTTTCAATTCATCAGAAGCACCTGATAGCTACAGCTAATTTATGATTAAATGACACTTCAATAAAACCAAAATGGGGCCTACAAGTTTCTATAAACAAAAGTTTCCAATGAAATAAGGACAGTCAGTAATTAATGCACTCATTTGGAGGATCATGGCTGTTCCTTAAGGAGTTCAAACCTGTCAACACCAAAGGTAATCATTTTATATTAATTTATACATAATTCCATTTAAATTCTTTGTCCAAGTATAACATATGAAAACAGACTTCTCACAAGCAAAAAAATGTGGAAACATTTAAAAAATAAGGAGTCATTTTTTTAAAGTAACTGATCAGATTCCATAGGCTACTCTTGGAAACAGGATCTTGCCATCATTTGGTGGCTGTTGCATGCACTTAACCGCACTAATACTTCTGTGTGTTGTTCTAAGAGCTCACCAAAACATAGGTCATGCCATACAGGTAGTTTAAAAAAAAATGCTAGAAAGTAAAAAGCTAACTTGCACCATCCTTCTTTCTGACAGTATGCTAAAATATCTGCATTCATGATGTTTGAAGGATCCTAGAGTCCCGGTCCACTCATCATTGGTCTATTCATGTACCTCCAAATATGATATGCCAAGACCCAGTGTAAGCCACTTTGCTGCACAAAGAAACGTGACACAGACGAAAGCATGGATGAGGTACTTTGGAAGTACAAGAGGATTCAGGGTATTACACTGGTCTATAGGATTCTTGTAATCAATCTTCAGATCATTAAATGCTATAATCAGATGGCTAAGAAGATGAGCCCTGCGGTGAGCAGCAGTGCCAGCATGTAGCAGAAAGCCATGAACGTAAATGCCAAGGCTGAGAAGGAGGAGGGGCAGCGTCGCGGGTGCTAGCGGAGAAAGCATTTTTATCTTGTCTAAATCTTAAATCAAGCGGAGATGGTGGATGATTTTATGATTATATAGCCAGAGCAATTATACATTCTTCTTTGCCTGGAATAGTGCTGGGTTTCACCTTTGTCCTGGTACACAACTTTTTTTTTTTTTTTTTCTCCCTCGCCAGCCCCCACCAGGTGTTAGGGATTGAGCTGAGGGCCTTGTGCATGGTAGGCAAGTGCTCTACCATTGAGCTACACCCTAACCTGGTGTAAAGATTACTAGTACTTCCTTTCATTCTCACAGTTTTCCAGTTTGGATAATAAATTATGTGGTTATGCTAATTATAGCAATTGTTGGAAACCAAGGACTTTCAGGAATAATATACCTACAGGCTTCTCCATTTGTTTTAAGATCAAATTAAAGCAGCTGAAAATTTTGTTTAAGATTTTATAGGTTATATTCATCCTAAACTAAGGGCCTCTGGAGGCAGAATTTAACTTAAAAAAATTCTTGTTTATTTCTTTCCCCACATTTTTAAGATTGGTGAATAATAGTTGTACCTATTGGGATTTGTTGTTACATATACATACAAGCACACACTATAACAATATAACTTGGCCAGTATCACTCTCCAGCATTTTCCCCCTCCCTCCCTGCCTCTTACCCCTTGTAGAATTTAACTTTTAGACAGGTTTTATTTTGTATGATGATTTAAAAAGTAGTGATAATTTGAATGTCTCTCTACAAGGTGGCTATTTCCTCCACCACTCCCTTTTACCTCATGTCTCCCCAGCCCCTGTAGGCATTTCCTAACTTAGCAATTTATTTTGCATATATTATAATATTTAAATCTCATTTGTAAAAAAAAATGTCAGTATCCATTCTCTAGGAAACCAAGTATGCTTCAAAATCAAAACTTAGGACTTGTTAAACAATAGGACAAAACAATAGGACTTGTTGAAACACGGATTTCCTTAGCCCCAGAACAGACTTTCTGTTTCAATAGGTCCAGGGAAGAACTTCACATTTTAAACAAATTCCCCGGAAGTGCAGTGCTGTCCCACTGAGAACTATTGGTTTAGAGACACCATAAGTTGCTAGAGCTACTCTAGATAACAAATGACGGAGCTCCATATTAAATGTTCTTTCTTTCTCACAGCATTAATAAAAACACATGGCAATCTTCCAAAGTGACAAGCAAATCTTTTCAAGTTTGGAGAAGCCAGCAGAGAGAGAGAAAAGGAAAATGCACATATGAACACCATCAGCCATTTCAGACAATTATCACTAAACAGGCATGATAACTTCATGAAGGGGAAACAGACATAAAAGAGGAGACTGTGACCAGTGTGGAGGCACATGCCTGTAATGCAGCAACCAGGAGGCTGAGGTAGGAGGATCTTAAGTCTGAGGCTTCACTATGTGGTGAGATACTCTCGAAACAAAAAATAAAAAGGGCTGGGAATGTGGTAGAACACCCCTGGGCTCAACAACAAAAACAAAACAAACACTCCCCCCCACACACACACACATTATGTAGTGGTCCAAAAGTGCTTTCACTCTCCTAGAATTATTATTGTTATTCTTGGGCTATTCATCCACCAGACTCAATGGAATGGAAATTTAAAACTCTTAGCATATTCAGCAGTTTGCAATCAAACTGCCTCCAATTTACAAAGGATGAGGTCTTCTTTTTTCAGTACTGGGGATCAAACTCAAAAGGTGCTTTTCCACTAAGCTATATGTCCAGCTCTTTTCATTTTTTTGTGACATGGCCTCAAGCTTGTGATCCTCTTTCCTCAGTCTCCCAAGTTGTTGGGTTTACAGGTCTGCACTGCCATGCCTGGCTTAGGATTGAGGACTTGAAAGAGATGCTATTGCATGTTAGTTCCAGAGGGATAAGACATCCTAGAAGAGAAGTGATGTAGTGCTGCTGCCAACATAGCTATCAAAAAAACAGACAAGAAGTCATACAGCAGCGGGTGCATGGATTCATTGGGGTCCTGTTAAGACTAATGATAACCTTCTCAGAAGTCAGTGAGGGCCAGAGGTAGTTCTGTGACTAGATATCTCCTGTTCTGTCCTACAATGTTACATCAGCCTCCCCTGTATCAGAGCTCCAGTTTATAGATGAAGATAAGGATGGAAGAAGCTGATGTAGCTCAGGGGCAGAGTGGGAGCTAGGGGATGGGAACCCAGGTTCCTTCTAGTCATTGGTTGGGTGCTGCTTCTAGGTTGTGTTAATTCTGGGCACTTTCAGCCTGTACTGCACAGGCAGAGCAGACTGATGACCACAAGAAGCCCTTGCATGAAAAGTTACAGGAGCTGGAAGTTGGAAGTGGGATGTTGACAGTGTCCATAACAGGGAACTAATCTACAGAGATTAAAGATGGGCAAAGAATCAGACAGACATATTTTTAATATCTCTCTCTCTCTCTCTCTCTCTCTCTCTCTCTCTCTTTCTTTTCTTTCTTTCTTTCTTTTTTTTTTTTTTTTTTGAGGTGGGTCTCCCTATGTTGCTTGGGCTGGCCTCAGAATTGCACTCAACTTCTCCAGTAGCAGGGATTATAGGTGAACAAGAGAGACAAGTCATGAAGAAGAGCAGAAAGTCTAACAACAGAGCCAGATATACTGTACACAGGGTGAAATTTAGTATTTGTTAAAGGTGAAATATATTAATGATTGAATAAGTGATATTGGGACAAAAAGGTAGCAATCAAGGAAGAAAAAAAAATCTATATTGAAATCACCAGCTTTAATAGGA